ACTAATCAAGATAATTTTATTATTTGGCATGACCGGTTGGGTCATCCTGGTTCTAATATGATGCATAAAATAATTAAGAATTCACATGGGCATGCAATGAAGAATCAAAAGATTCTTCAATTTAAGGAATTCTCTTGTGCTGCATATTCTCAAGGAAAATTAATTATTAGACCATCAATTATTAAAGTTAGGATGAAATTCCCTGCATTTCTGGAACGTATACAGGGTGATATATGTGGGCTCATTCACCCTCCATGTAGACCATTCAAATATTATATGGTTTTGGTAGATGCATCTACAAGATGGTCACATGTGTGCTTACTATCAACTCGCAATATGGCATTTGCGAGATTGTTGGCTCAAATAATAAAGCTAAGAGCACAATTTCTAGATTATGCAATTAAGACAATTCGTCTTGATAATGCTGGTGAGTTTACATCCCAAGCCTTTAATGATTATTGTATTTCAACTGGGATAAAAATTGAGCATCCGGTTGCTCATGTTCATACACAAAATGGTCTAGCATAATCATTGATCAAATGTCTCCAATTAATTGCTAGACCAATGCTTATGAGAACAAAACTTCCCATTTCAGTATAGGGTCATGTTGTTTTGCATGCAGCGACACTTGTGCGGATAATGAAGTTATCATAAAGTCTCCCCATTGCAATTGACTTTTGGTCAGGAGCCAAATACATCCCATCTTAGGATCTTTGGTTGTACGATATATGTTCCAATTGCTCAACCACAACGAGAAAGATGGGTCCTCAAAGAAGGTTGAGGATATATGTTGGATATGAATCTCCTTCTATTATAAAATATTTAGAGCCGACTGGATATTTATTTACGACAAGATTTTCTAATTGCCATTTTGATGAATCAGTATATCCAACATTAGGGGTAGAAAATAAGCAGCTGAAAAAGAAGATAGATTGGAATGCATTATCACTGTCTCATTTAGATCCTCGAACAAATCAATGTGAACAAGAGGTTCAAAAGATTATTCATTTACAAAATATTGCAAATCAATTGCCAGATGCATTCACTGACCTACCAAGGGTGACTAAGTCACATATTCCAGCTGCTAATGCTCCAATTCGAGTTGATATCCCGGCAGGACAATTAATTAAAGCAAATGAGTCTAAGCCATGCTTGAAACGTGGTAGACCAATCGGTTCTAAAGATAAAAATCCTCGAAGAAGAAAAGGAGCAAGTGATCAAAGTGAACATAACACAGAGGTAGTGGCTCAAGAAGAGCCCCAAGACGTAACAAATGATAAGACCTTAGGGGAGGTCCAGGTACCTGAAAATAATGAAAATGAAGAGATATCAATAAGTTACGTCTCAACCGGGAAAAGATGGAACCGAAATAATGTTGTTATCGATAACATTTTTGCTTATAATGTTGTTGTTGAAATAATGCAACAAGATAAGGATCTTGAACAAAAATCTGTCAATAAATGTAGATAGAGAAATGATTGGCCAAAATGGAAAGACGCTATCCAGGCAGAGTTAACTTCACTTGGAAAACATGAAGGCTTCGGACCCATAGTTCGAACACCTGAAGGCATAAAGCAAGTAGGGTATAAATAGGTTTTTGTGCGAAAACGAAATGATAAAAATGAAGTCGTTAGATATAAAGCGTGAATTGTGGCACAAAGGTTTTCCCAAAGGCCTGGAACTGATTATATAGAGTCATATTCTCTTGTAGTGGATGCTATCACCTTAAGGTATCTCATAAATATGGCAGTGCAAGAAAAACTTGATATGCATCTAATGGATATTGTTATAGCTTATTTGTATGGATCATTAGACAACAAAATTTTTATAAAAATACCTGAGGGATTTAAAGTGCCAGAAGCATATAAAAGTTTTCGAGAAACTTGTTCAATAAAGCTTCAGAAATCTTTATACGGATTGAAACAATCAGGTCGTATGTGGTACAATCGCCTGAGTGAATACCTGTTGAAAGAAGGGTACAAGAATGATCCAATTTGTCCTTGTGTCTTTATAAAAAGGTCTGGATCTGAANTAAATCTTTATATGGATTGAAACAATCAAGTCGTATGTGGTACAATCGCCTGAGTGAATACCTGTTGAAAGAAGGGTACAAGAATGAACCAATTTGTCCTTGTGTCTTTATAAAAAGGTCTGGATCTGAATTTGTTATAATCGCTGTGAATGTTGATGATTTAAATATCATTGGAACTCTTGGGGAGCTTCCAAAAACAGTAGACTGTTTGAAGAGAGAATTTGAAATGAAAGATCTTGGAAAGACAAAATTTTGTCTTGGTCTACAAATTGAGTATATGAAAGATGGAATATTTGTCCATCAATCAACATGCACCGAAAAGATTTTAAAGCGATTCTATATNTATGAAAGATGGAATATTTGTCCATCAATCAACATGCACCGAAAAGATTTTAAAGCTATTCTATATAGATAAAGCACATCCCTTGAGTACCCCGATGGTTGTGAGATCACTTGATATAAAGAAAGATCCATTCCGACCTCATGAAAATGATGAAGAGCTTCTTGGTGCCTAAGTATCATATCTTAGTGCAATTGGGGCATTAATGTATCTTGCCAATAATTCCCGACCAGATATAGCTTTTCCAGTCAGCTTATTGGCAAGATTTAGTTCTTCGCCAACACAAAGACACTGGAATGGTATTAAACATATATTCAGATACCTCCAAGGGACCATTGATATGAGTTTATTTTATTCAAATGAATCCAAGCCATCATTGATTGGTTATGCAGATGCAGGATATTTGTCTGATCCACACAAAGGTCGATCTTAGACATGCTATTTATTTACAAGTGGAGGTACAGCCATATCATGGCGTTCGACAAAACAAACTATGGTTGCTACTTCTTCAAATCATGCAGAGATAATAGCCATTCACGAAGCAAGTCGAGAATGCATTTGGTTGAGATCTATAACTTAACACATTCAACAAACATGTGGTCTTTCTTTGAAAGAGAATATTCCAACAGTATTGTATGAAGACAATGCTGCATGCACAACTCAATTGGAAGGAGGATATATCAAAGAATATAGAACAAAACACATTTCACCGAAATTCTTTTTCACTCATGATCTTCAGAATAATGGTGAAATAGATGTACAACAAGTTCGCTCAAGTGATAATTTGGCTGATCTGTTCACTAATGCATTACTAACCTCAATATTTGAAAAGCTTATATATAAGATTAGAATGCGTCATCTTCGATACATTAAGTGATTTTTCATCAGGGGGAGTAACTACACGCTACACTCTTTTTCTTAACCAAAGTTTTGTCCCACTGAATTTTTCTGGTAAGGTTTTTAATGAGGCAGCAAGCAATGCATATTATAAATAACTATGTACATCCCAATATTTTTTTTGTAAGTTCTTAATGAGGCACATTATCTTACATGGACATCCAAGGGGGAGTGTTATGAATAGTTTGTACATTGGATGATACATTGGATGCCCATGTTGTGAATAACTTAAAGATTAAATCTCCTACTTTATGTCCATCATCTTTACTTTTTATGCCTATAAAAGGCCATGTAATTGCAATGGAAAGATACACCAAAGTGAAAGAAGAAAATACTTCTCCCTTCTTTCTATCTCTTCTTATTTACATTTTACTGCATTGCTTTTATTTTATAACAAAAACTATATTATCTAGAGTTGTATTTAAATTTTATTCCGGAATAAGGAACCCTTAAATTAATTATACCACTGTTCTAATATTATTTATAATAGGTGCAATATGGGATAAGTAGGGAAAAAAAGCTAAGATATTGAATATCAATACTATGTAATAGTAGCATGTTTGGCCAAGCTTCTCCAATGCCAATTTATGTTTTAAGTTAAAGTGTTTGGCCACACTTTTAGTAGAAAAAGAGTATTTTTGAGTGGAAGCAGATTTGAAGAAGCAGAAAAAGGTAGTTTCTCTCCAAAAGAACTTTAAAAGAAAATATACTTAGAATTTTTTTAAAAGATTGATCAAATACTAATTGCTTGTTCAAATTAAATAGCCAAACACAAATTGCTGAATTTAGAAGCTTGGCTAAAGAGGCTATAAGGTACTACTAACAAATTGCATAATATTGTTAATATGCCTCGGAGATAAAAAGAGCAGTATTTAAAATATATTTTGATTTGATCCAAAGGGAAGAATATGTTGGAAATATAGACCCCAGTCCGGATTAGTTAGGATCTAGGCTTTAATTATTTTGTATTGTATTGGGCCAAGCCCACTTAATTGATTATTATTTTTCCCCACAATGTATAGTATGGGTCGGGTCGTTGTTGTTATACTGGATCGTTGTTGCTGCATAGTATGGGTCGGGTCAGATATAAGGAATAATGGGGTCTGTATCAAAACGTATTGTATCATTTTTATTTTTACACAGATATGAAAGTCTCCCTTTTTCTCTCTCGAACATAACAAACCCTAGAATAAGTTTACCTGATTTCAGCTTCTTCTCCGCTGCTAACATGGTATCACAAATCTCGTAGATTTAGTTGTCTTCTATCGTCCGATGTTACCCTTAAGGAGTATCGCCAGAGTTTTCTGCTGATTCCGAGATTTCGTGGAATCTCCATCTTTTTGCTTTCTCGGCAATTTCTTCGAGTTTTCTGTTGCTATTTTGGCTTATCTTTGGGATTTCTCTTCTTCAAATCGTTTTTTTGGAGTTCATCAGTTGTGTTCTCGTCTTCAAGCTTGAGGTCAACATTTGGGGATGTTGCTTGTGGATTTTTTGAGCGTTACTAAGTATTTATTCTCCATTCAAGGTTGTACTCTTCCGGTTGCGAGGAGTTGTGGTATATTCTTTCCTTTACTGTTTCTTTTTTCCATCAATTGCATGCCTTAGGATTTATTGCTTTATAGTTGAGATCTTATCAAATCGTGTCTGTAATTGTGAGTATTATCTGATGGCCATTCCGTCGAGTACATCATCTTCCTTTTCTACGGATAATTCTGCTCCTATTGACCATAGTGCTGCGAGTCGCCTTCCTTTTCACCCTGATGACTATACACATCTCTATCACCCTTTATATGTACATCGCTCTGATTTACTAGGTTCTTCTTTGGTCACTAAGCCTTTTGATGGCTCATGTTATGGGAGTTGGCATAGATCCATTTTAGTGGCTCTATCTGTTAGGAACAAATTGGAATTCATCAATGGAACTTCTGAGAGACCTCAAGAGGGGTCTCCTCTTCTTCGCCAATGGCAAATGTGCAATAATTTAGTTGTTGCATGGCTGGCTAATTTTGTGACTAAGGAAATCCACCGTACTGTAGTCTACTCTAAGTTTGCCAAGGATATTTGGAAGGAACTTGAGACCAGGTATGGGGAAGCTGATGGAGCTAGGGTCTTTGAGTTAAAAAAGGAGATGGCACACATTTCTCATGGTGCTCTTGACATTCCTTCTTATTTTATCAAACTTAAACAACTTTGGGATGAATTGACCTCTCTTTCTGCCAGTTCTGATGATAGGTGTATTTGTGGGAGAAATATTAGGTCTGAGGAAAAACAAAAGGTCTATCAGTTTTTCATGGGGCTGAATGACACATATGTTCAAGTCAGAAGCAACATATTGATGATCATGCCCCTTCCTTCTATTGACACAGTATATAGTATTCTCTTAAGTGATGAAAAACAGAGACATGTGTCTGCTACATCTTATTTCTCCTCTGAATCTGCCTCTTTTAATGTTGGTTCTTCTAAATAGCTTTATACTCCTAAAGTGAATTTTGATAGTTAGAGGAGTTTAGTCACTTGTAAATACTGTAAGAAGCCTGGGCATAACATTGAAAAATGCTATAAATTTCATGGTTATCCACCAAACTTCAAGTTCTCTAAGGGTGGTGGTCCCAAAAAGGCTTCAGCACATACTGCACTTGATTCTTCTACATCTCAGGCATCTGCTTCTCAACTCACTGGTGGTGCTATTCAGAGTGGCTACTCTGACTCATCTACTGGTTTTCCTGGCTTGACAAAAGACTAATGCTCCCAGCTGATTCAATTTCTGCAACAAACTCATGTCACTCCTGACTCTTCTCACCCTCTCATGGCATCTGCACATTTTGCTGGTAGGATATCCACTCATAGTGTACTTATTAAGCCTGCTTTATTCTCCAAAGTCAATATTTCTGATTGGATTATTGATTCTGGGGCATCTGATTATATGACCTCTCTTAAATCTCTTCTTTTCAACATTCAACCTCTTACTATTCCTTGTCTTGTTTCTCTTCCTAATGGTTACAAAGTTAAAGTTACAAATTATGGTTCTTTAGCTTTGTTTTCCAATTTCACTCTCCACAATGTCCTTTATGTTCCTAGTTTTCAATACAACCTGATTTCTATTCATCAATTGGTTGATCAGTTTGATGGCATTGCACAGTTTACTAAGGATTTATGTGTATTATAGGGCCCTTCTCTTAAGAAGCCACTGGCTCTTGGTAAACTGGATAATGGACTCTACAAGATACTAGTCCCCATGATTACTCATTAAAGATGTGTTTCCAATTTTGCTTTTGTATTTCCTATTTCTTCTTCTGAATGTAACGGTATTGGTACTTCTATTGCTTCTTCTTGTAATTCTGCACCTTCTTGTAATTCTGTATCTACTGTTTCTAAAAAATGGATATTGTTTGGCATTTTAGACTTGGTCATATACCATTCTCTAGAATGAAAGGGATTTCTGTTCTCAGTCCCTCTTTCTCCTCTAAACAATCATTTCCTTGTCCTGTTTGCCCTCTAGCTAGGCAAACCAGACTTCCTTTCCTGATAGCACCATTCACTCCTCTACTCCCTTCCAATTAATTCGCATTGACACCTGGGTCCTTATCACTCTCCTACCTCCCATGGTGCTAAGTATTTTCTCACCATTATGGATGACTATTCTAGAGCTCTTGGACTCACTTGATGGGTGCTAAGAACAATGCTTTTAACTTACTTAAAACTTTCATTGCTATGGTTAAAACTCATTTTCATACTTCTGTTAAAAGTGATAATGCTTTTGAGCTAGGTTCTAGTTCCATTGGTTCCACATTTTTTTCTACCAAAGGTATCATTTATCAGATCACCTGTCCCCATAGTCCACAACAGAATGGTGTAGTAGAAAGGAAACATAGACATTTACTTGAGACTACTGAGCTTTATTATTTCAATCTAAGCTCTCTATTTCTTTCTGGGGGGATCACATTTTAACTGCCACATATCTCATTAATAGATTCCCTTCTCCCTTTTTACAGAATAAAACCCCTTTTGAATTGCTTTATGGTTCTGCCCCTTCCTATGCTCACCTTAGGACTTTTGGCTTCTTATGTTATGCTACTGTTCCTAAGGTTCATAGGGACAAATTTGACCCTAGGTCTGTCCTTTGTGTCTTTCTAGGATATCCCTTTGCTAAGAAGAGTTATAAACTGTACAATCTTGTCTCAAAAATTTGTTTTGTGTCTAGGGATGTTCAGTTCTATGAACACATTTTTCCTTTCTCTACCACTCCTTCCCCTGTTCATTCTGTCTTTACCTCCCCTTCTACCCTTCTTACTGATTTTTCTTTCATTCCTTCCTCTGTTTCTCCATCCTCTCCTTCTCCTTCTCCATCTTCTACTCCTAATGCTTCTTCCCCTTTACCTTCTCCTGATCTTCCTCCTCCCTCTTCCATTAGTGATGTTCCTGTGAGGAGGTCTTCCAGACCTCATAATCCTCCAGGATATTTCCAGGATTATGTTTGTTCCCTTTCTTCCTCTTCCCCCTCTTCCTCCTTGTCAGTTTCATCTTCTTCTCAGCCTTTATCTGAACCTGCCACCTACTCTCAGGCTGCTTGTATTCCTGAGTGGCAGGAAGCCATGGACAAGGAGTTTGAGGCTCTAGAAACCAATGTCACTTGGTCTGTTGTCGAGCTTCCTCCAGGCAAGAAGCCCATTGGTTGCAAGTTGGTCTACAAGATCAAGCACAAGGCTGATGGGAGCATTGAGAGATATAAGGCTAGATTGGTTGTCAAGGGGATACTCAAGTTTAGGGTATTGATTTTCATGAGACATTTTCACCTGTGGTGAAGATGTCCAATGTCAAGACTCTTATTGCAGTTGTTGTCAAGAAGCATTGGCCTATGTTTCAATTGGATGTAAATAATGCCTTTTTGCATGGTGACCTTGATGAAGAGGTTTTCATGAAGCTGCCTCCTGGTTACATTGTTTCTTGCCCTTTTACTTCTAGGCAGTTGGTTTGTAGGTTGCACAAATTTCTCTATGGGCTCAGATAAGCCTCCAGGTAATGGTATGCCAAGTTTTCTCAAGCCCTATCTTCTAGAGATTATTCCCATTCTCTCAATGATTATTCCCTGTTCACAAAAGTTTCTGGGGATTCTATTGTGGTACTTGTTGTTTATGTGGATGACATTATTTTGATTGGTACTGATAGTGTTGAAATTTCTGTTCTTAAGTCATTTCTTCACCATCAATTTAGAATTAAAGATTTGGGCTATCTTAACTAACTTTTGGGAATATAGTTGTTATACTCAGCTTCAGGTGTTCTATTGCATCAAAAGAAGTTCATTCATGAACTTCTCCATGAGTTTCATTGTTCTGATGCCCCTCATGTGGTTTGTCCTCTTTCCTTGTCTGTCAGACTTAAGGCCAAGGAGGGTGTGCCTCTTCCCAAGCCTGAGGTGTACAGATATTTGGTTGGAAAACTCAATTTTCTCACTCACACTAGGCCAAACATTTCTTTTGTTGTACAACACCTGTCTCAATTCATGCCCTTTCCTTGTATGCCTCATTTGGAAGCTGGTTTCCATTTACTGAAGTATTTGAAGGGTACTGCTGAGGTTGGCATCTTCCTCAACAATACCCCTGATCTTTCTGTTGCTGCTTTTTGTGATAGTGACTGGGCTGCCTGCCCGGATATCAGAAGGTCTGTCACTGGCTTTTGTGTATTATTAGGAGGTAGCCTTGTTGGTTGGAAGTTTAAGAAGCAACCTGTGGTCTCAATGTCATCTGCTGAACCTGAATACAGGGCCATGAGTAAGGCTGTCAGTGAAATTACTTGGCTGCACAGATTACTTATGGATTTGGGTGTTCCTTGTTCTTCTGCTATTCCTCTTTTTTGTGATAGCCAAGCTGCTATTCATATTGCCAAGAACCCTATTTTTCACGAGCGTACTAAGCATATTGAGTTGGATTGTCATCTGGTCAGAACCAAGCTTGCTGAAGGCCTCATTCAGCTGCTTCACACTTCTTCTCTACTCAATTGGCTGATATCCTCACTAAAAGCTTGCCTGGTGCTGCTCGTCATGGTATTCTATCCAACTTGGGGGTTTTATCACCCTCGAACTTGAAGGGGGGTGTTGAAAATATAGACCCCAGTCCGGATTAGTTAGGAGCTAGGCTTTTATTATTTTGTATTGTATTGGGCCAAGCCCACTTAATTAAGTATTATTTTTGCCCACAATGTATAGTCTGGGGCGGATCAGATATAAGGAAGAATGAGGTCTGTATAAAAAACGTATTGTATCATTTTCATTTTTACACAAATATGAAAGTCTCCCTTTTTCTCTCTCGAACATAACAAATCCTAGAATAAGTTTACTTGATTTCAGTTTCTTCTCCGCTGCTAACAGAATAACGCAAACTATGAAATCAGTATACTCTCCAAAAATTGTTTTTACAGCTCGAGAGAACGACAAGTTTTCATTCACTTATTTTTCTCTTTTCGACTTCGGCCTCGCATATAGAAACAGTAGGGCGCAGATATCTTCTATGATATGAACAAAGGTTCAGTTTAGTTCCTTAAAATCAAAACTTTCTTGAAAAACTGCACACCACTTGTTCTTCAACTATCTCAAACCTCCAATGCAGTTCCAGAAGCTATAACGATACTTGCGCAATACCAGTTTAGTTTTGATCAGTTTCATCTTTACAGGGGACAATGGCCGAGAATATATTACACATAAATGATTTTACATTAACAATTAATTCACCTTAAAACTAATCCATTGTTTTCGTAGATAGGACGTTCACTAGAGGGGTTGGACACAAGGGCAGAGCTAGAACTTCGGACGCAAGTTCAACCGAACCAGTAACTTTGGTCCAAACTCTATATTTGTATTTAAAAATTCATTGAATATGTATATATTATTAATTTAGAATCCAATAACTCCAAAGAAATACAATCCCGAACTCAATAGTTTCAAATCCTAGCTCTGTCTCTGGCTTGGACATAAATCTGTCTGATATGGCCAAGAACTTGATGCTCAAAACTACTGATGCAGCTGTCGATGTCCAGTAAATACATTTAAAACTTCTTCTAAAATGCGTAAAGTTGTTTTCTTCTTTTTCCTTTTCCTTGACAAATGTACGCTGTTAGTTCACTCCTAAAACATGCTATTCCAGTTTTTAAATGATTAGTGAGTGAGACAAGACGTTTAATATTGGATGGAGGCTTTAACACCAGTTAACGCACCATGTGGATAATAAGCAGAGGCATACATGAAATAGGCAACACTAGTATTACAATGACCCAAAAAAAAAGGAACTAAGGTCAGAAACAGATCAGTAACATGCCCTTCAAACCTAAGCAAATCGCTACCGAATTAGGTACATTCACTCAATGTTGATCCTGACGATGTTTCTTGGTTTTCCACTTCGACTCGCAGGCTGGGTACTGCTATTACGTCTCAGACCACTAAATGGATCTTTGAATCTAGGATCCCAGTTGGTCAACCAATTATTACTTGTTCCTGCATAAACCAAACAGCAAACATTACAGGGATCACACATGCATTAAGCTTCTTCCTATGAAAGGAAGAATTCATCCTTTTCAAAAAACAAAAAAAAAAAATGAAAGGAAAATTTCATCCAGCAAAATCCTGAAAGGCTAACAGAAACTAGCAGGTCACTGAATGACATAGACAAGGTTCCACTTTTCGCTTTGCTTGTTTTAGCTTTCTGTCAGACTTTGGGCCCGAATGGTAGAATTGGTACCAGTGCATGGGGTAAACAAGAGCTAGATTTCAAGCAGGCATGATCTTTGTGCTTGCTTCTTTAAGTAGCGATTTACTTCGTAAGCAAACAGATAATAGCCCACAAAGTTTGTCTAATTCTTCCCACCTAAGCGTGCAGTAAATCACAAGCAAAGAGTGTATCAAACTAGTATGGTAATTCCTAAGAGATTGAAAACAACTCCTGCTACATATTTGCTGCAATGTCAAATCTAAGGGCTGCAGCTTCTAACAGTTTTTGCCCAGAATCTGCTTTAAAAAGGATTTTTCATCTAAAACGAATAAGGTAATCTTTTAGTGAAGCGCTAAACTAGAAAAACTTCAAAATTCAATTTACTAACCGGGGGAACTCTGTTGGAAAAATTGGATGATTATTATGGAAAATAAGATTTAGCTTGAGGCGTGTCAAAGACACTGTCCTTAAGGATATTTCGCCCATACCGTGATAAATAAAATTAGGCGTATCCCCAGGATTCAACAAGCTCTTGTAGCTAGTATAACTAGGAGCAGAAACAACAAAGATTGAATAAAAGAAAACCCATCACAAAAGAAAAGGGAAGAAAAGTTTTAACTTTGTTCACTCCATCCAAATGAACACAAACATATACTTATATATAATCCAAAATATGGACATCTGATTGTTGCCAAAAACGTTACAAAATTAAAGAATCTTCTCAATAAGAGACGTTACTAACATTAAAGGCAAAACGTTATAAACATCAATTTTCTTAAAGCCATAATGATAGCCATTTAAGGTTAGTAAATTGTTATATTCAAAGCTATTCAAATATTCAGTTATATATATTAAAATATATTCAATTGATTGGTATAATAAAAATCTATTAAAATAATATTAAAAGAATGAACCAAGACATTAATTTGAATATTTCTTTTTGAGTTAGCAAATTATTTTTCCAACAAACTCTACCACTTGCTGCGAAAATTAGCTACCACACTAAATTAAAAAATTCACGGCATCATAAATAATGGAATTCTACCTTTTTTGAGTGTTTTTCATAAAGTGATCTCTTCCACAAGTGTGTTTCAGAGGAATTAATTTCACCCATGCTCAACGCCTCAACCATGAAATATCATTTGCTTAGGCTCATTGTGAAGTGCTAACTAAAAAGCTAGTGGTAAGGTCAAGTCTACCTCCCTTCATCTGTGTCATTGTTTGATGAGAGGTGGTGAAGTAATTCCCTACACAGTTACTCCCACGCCCTATATCGACAAAGTTACCTAAACTCTCTTCATGCCCTCTCAAATGAGACAGCTAATAAAGTTTAGCGATAGCAATGTAAAATACATAAACTAAGAACATTGTCAAACTAAGTCTAGCATGATTGGGGGGAAAAACCCTAAGTCTAACATAGCTGTATAAGGAATAAAGATAGTTTAACTGAGAAGAGTCAATACTCCGTCGGAAATGTGCAAATGTAATCCATCAGATCTATTTGCCATGATCAGCAGAGAAAGGCGTTTCCTTTTCTCACTAACCTGCATTTGCATGGAAATCAGACCCATTCTCCCATCCAGGAATATGCCTATCAGCATTGCCATTCCATGTCTGTTTAAAGCCAGCTAATTCATCTGCAAAACAAAAGACAAACATGTGAAATCTGCTGTCGAATGGAACATAGAAGTGGAACACCTGAGTAATATTCAAGAAGATGCTACCTTCTGCTAGATTATGCAATGTCTGCATCATGTCCACCTTGCCGTCAGAGGCAAGCTTCCTTGTTAAGGAGTGTCCCTAGGAATGATAGAAGAATGTGAATAAGATACTTTTCTCTATCCGGCAAGATGAAGCCACAGTTCACAGAGTAAAGGAAAAGGCTAGAATTCAACCAGAGATTGCACATATCTTTAACTACACAAATGGAGCAATCTATTAGATTATCATGTAACTGCCAATGTCTAACGCAGGTGAAATAATGCAAGACTCTCGCAAATTCATATGAGAAAAGTCAGACTCGTTTCTATCTTCCACATGAATGGCAGACACATACGATTAGTCACTCTTATTAACTACTAACGCCTCTGTTCTCAGCATAGAAGATAAGTGTTAAGACTCCTTTAAAAATGTTCACAAAGTTACGAACTCCATACTTTGGTTGTTAAATCCATCCAAATTTACATAATTTCTAGTAGATAATTTAGAAGGTATTGGAGGTCCACCATTTTTCACTGAGACTCATAGATGTTATCTTGAAAATAGTGTATGTTTTCGACTTAATAAGCTTCTAAACATAAAAAACATCACAAGTCCTTCAAGTATTTTAATAACAGTGCCAAAAGTAAAGACTAATAAAATGTATTATACCTTATCGTGGATACCCCTGGAGATTCTATGTGTTGCTTGACCAGTTGTTCTATCTGCTTGCTTGCTCTCCTCTAGCACCCTCTGTTTCATAATATATGCACTGTTAGAATCAGGAAAAACGCACTTATTCAGCCAGATGAACAAGACATCAAGGAGATGAGAACATACTCCATCACTTCCAGTCTTACGCGTGGTGGTGGCAGTGTAATATGCCCCCTCTATTCCACCATATGTAACTCTTCTATAGCTCGCGCTTTGAGTCTTGGATTCTGTTCTTTCCAAATTCATATCTTCCATTCTCCGAGTCACGTCTTTGCTTACGCTCTTGCTCTTGCTATGGTCTGCGACATAAGTACAACTAATGATTTCCACCAGCAAGAATGTTATTTCCTCCGTTTCATTTTATGTGTCACTCCTTTTTTAGTCTATCCTAAAAAAGATGTCAAGAACATGTGAAACTCTCTCCACCTATCACTTACTTGTTGGTAGTGAGGGCAACTTTAGTAGTTCGCATTTAATTAATTAATGTCTCAAAAGTTTCCTATATTTCTTAAGCTATATCCTCAATCAAACAGTGCTACGTAAAATGAGACAAAAGGAGTACCAATTATGGACAGATAACATAAAAACAACCAAAAGTTACCATCAGTTGGGTCTTCAGGATGTTCAACAAGTGGATTTCTGTTAGCATAATCCCTATTTCTTTCCTCCTCGGAGCCATTAACGCCATCTTCCTCCGCTGGTTCTAGCTCTACTTCTCCCTCATCATCCATATCTATCTCTTGAATGACCGGCCCATTGGAATTAGCAAACTGCTGCAAGTGATCAGCAGGAGTTGTTGGATGTAACATGGAAGACTGAGACAATTTAGGAAAAGGGCGAGTAAAGAACGGGTCATCAAATGGGTCTCTTCCTCCAAATATACTAGACATCATGCCTCCAAATCCATCAAATGGACTGCTGAAGGAGTTGAAATTGTCACTGCCACCTCTTTCTCTCTGCATATTCTCACACCAAACCCTAGTTCCAGAACCGGAAACTTAACAGCTTAGCCATTTAAAGCTATTGAAAAGGTTAAGAATGATTGGCAATAGGATGCATCATAATTTAGTAATGTGCAGCAATTACAATCTCATAGTCAATTAACGTATCGATATCAACAACGTCTCAGCTCCTAATTTACTACTTAGTAATACAATACTGTAACACTTGAAAGAATTCACCACAAAAGCTAGTTTGAACCTTGATTTTTAGAAACCTTGTCAAATATATGAAAGTAGGACACTTACATTCTTACAATAATGAGGATATCATGAGTTTAGGAATTGGTAAAAGCACAAGTTTAACGAGAAACTAATGATTGGAACCTCTATTTTAGGCAATGATACTCTTAACTGAACTTTTTAAGTTCAATTTAGTAAATGATAGAGCTAGTGCAGAATTTACCAGTTTCATGACTAGAAGATAATTGAAACAATAAACAGCAGCAGAAACACTAAACATAGATTGCTAATTCCCTTTACCAAAAAAGAGACTGAATTACCTTAGGTGCAGAGTCGAGAATAAATTTGTTTTATGAGAGGGGATGAAATAATGTGCGGGACTAAGATTTATATTTGAGGAGTGACACGTGTTGGAGAGTTGTAGAGAGGTCAGAATACACGGAGCCTAGATCCTTCCATTTTCTTTCATTTTCTATTTCTCTCCTTGCACTCAGAACCTTCCAGGTCTCTCTTTTACCATTCCTTTTTATCTTTTTTTTGGTGTTTGAATGAACAAGGAATATAAAAAATTAATTGTGCAAAATATTAAATTAGTTTAATAAATATTGAGTGAGGAAATAAATAATCATTATTAGTGGAATACTATCAACCATTTTGGCACACTCTAAAATAAACACACTAGTCAATTGTTTCTATTAGAATAATATTATTTGTGTGTTCAGTTGAACTTATTATTAGTCATTCTAATTATGTGTACATAAATATAACATATGAATAAGCTCAGAGTAATTATGAATTCATTGACTCCAGATCATGGTGCATCGCATATCCAGGCTATGGTGCATGTCCAAAGACAATGGGCTTAAAAACAATTTCACAATTCCAAGACTAGGAACAAAAAGTTGCAGCATACTTTAGAAACATAGCAAAAATAGCACAAAACTATATTTTTAAATGTGTGTTTCTGCTAATTGTCTTTGTTGGGCAATTATTGTCAAATGTAACAGATAAAACTTACGAATTTTTTTTTACTGAAATAAAAAATACTTAGTCTTTGGCAAATTTAAAGGACCAAAATTGATTAGAAGTATATTTAAGGATCTACTTTTAATTTATCCCAAACATACAAAATCATTTTTTTGTCATTTTCTCTTGTTTTTTTTTTAACTTCGCTCACTCTCTCTTTTTGGTTTTCCACCCGGTGTCCCGTGTCCGGTACCCGCATTGGAGGCCAATTATATCCGAATTCGCCCTTAGGGCATCTCTAACATTTACCCCATTTTTTTCTCCCCATAAAGAATATTTCTTTTATATTCTCTTTCTTCTATATTATATTATTATTTTTTATTTTTATTTTTTAATTTTTATTAAACAAATTCCATCTTTTATTTTCATTAATTTGTAATTTCCATTAAAATAATTCCATAAAATTTTAAATAATAAAATTTGTAAGAAATTATTATAGATTAACTAATAATTAAAATAAAAGTGAAATCATTGCGATACAATTTTAATGTATTTTAATTTAATATATTTTCAATTTTAATGTATTTCCAATTTTAATGTATTTCAATTTAGTAATTTTATATTTGCACCTTTAATTTTCTGTGATGGTTATATCTTTGTTATACAATTATAACTCATAATAAAATTAAGTACCAAATTTACATAAAAAAATAGATGCACGATAATTAATTTTTCAAAATTATACGTCAAAGTTAAGATGAAAAAATTAATTAGGTAAATATATTATATAAACATAATTATACATATAAAGATAAATTAAACAAACAACAACAACCCAGTATAATCTCACAAGTGAGATCTGGGTAAAGATAAATTAATAAAAATATTAATATTTTAATGGGATAGTAAATAGGGAGATGAATAGTGTGTCCCCAAATTTGGGAAGACATCATTTACTCCCCGTTTTGGGGACAAAATGAGGGAGGGTTAGAGTAAACTTTTTCCATTTTTGTCCCCAAAAATGGGAAAATCTCCATTTTGGGGACAAGGTTGGAGTTGTTCTTAGAGATTTAAAGGGCTAGTTGATCCATGAAGAGAGGAGTATCGACTAGCAACTTGCAGACTGCTATTTTAGAATTTTAATCATTTGACCAAACGACTTCTTTTACTTAACTTCTTTTGTTGGAGGGATTGGGCGGCCTGGATAGGAGGGGTCTGGAAAGGAATGAATAACTCCCCGTCTATGCATGGGAGTAGAATTTCAGGAATCTCAACTTCATCTTCTTTATGCTAGTTCTCAATTATATAATGCATTATGCATAGTACCATTCTTGGGTACTATGTGCCATACAAGAAGTGGTGGAGGTTAGCATTCTCGGATAAGAGCACCGGGTAGGTTGTTTCTTCTCCATTTTAAGAGCTAGATTACGTGAGGAGCTAATTTTGAGAGGATTTTCACGAGTCAATTACTCAAATGGTCACTCAACTATCCCAAATTGTCTTCTAAAGTCATTTTTCTTTCATTTGTAATAACAAAGTCACTGAACTATGTCTATTGCACTCAAAATATCACTCAACTAGATTTTTCAAATTTTGAATTGCCAAATACCTACTTTACCCTCTAAATTATAAACATTTTTTTAATATTAACAACAAAAATTCAAAAATTTATTTACATAATTCAGAATGAAATAAAATAAAGGTTTGTAAAATATATATTCCATGCACGTTTATAAAAATAATTATTTAAATAAAGATATTTTTATAATATACATTACATATTCTTGAAAATTATGCTCAAATATATTATTATGTTTCTATCAACTTTCCAATGACAGAAAGTTATATCACCAGAAAGCAGGGGGACTATCTGTATGGGTAAAATATACTATGTTAAGTCGTGCATGGAATATATAATATAATTGAGAATAATTTTTAAAAATATATAATGTATATATATAAAAATACCTTTATTTAAATACGTGCATGTAATATATATTTTACAGCCTTTATTTTCTTTCATTCTGATTTGTGTAAACAAATTTTTAAATTTTTGTTGTTAATACTAAAATTATTATTACTAACAAATTATTCTAATTAATTTTTTTTACTATGCTCACTATTTTGTTATTCCAGTATTATATATGCTTAAATACTTTTTTTAATTTATAAATAATATTTATTTATTCTATAGGTAAGTCCATAATATAAATTAAAAAGGAAAAATCATAATATTAAAAAGTTTTAAAAAATAATAAAAAGAAGATAAATGTTTATAATTTAGAGAGTAAAATAGGTATTTGACAATCCAAAATTTGAAAAATTTAGTTGAGTGACCTTCTGAGTGCAATAGACATAGTTCAGTGATTTTGTTGCTACAAACGAAAGAAAAGTGACTTTAAAAGATAATTTGGGATAGTTGAGTGATCATTTGAGTAATGGACTCGGATTTTCACCTCAACCTCAAAGATTAGTGATTCTAACTTAGTTCAATTAATTTTCTGAATTTCACATAGATTTTCACTTAAGTATAGGATTTCAAGAGTAGAAATTAAGGCTTTGGAGTAAAACTTAAGAGACCTAATGTTGGAGATTTGGACCTCGATTTGAGGTCCGACTTTGATATAAATTACATATTTGGACTCGGAAATGAATGGGCCTTCGGGATTTGGTCTTGATTTTGAATTTAGACCATGTGGGTCCGAAATGACTTTTTGTTGACTTTTCTTAATTAGGTAAAGATCGAACTTTTTTTATGAGGATGATCCCTAAATTTTTTTTGACCAATTTGAGTATTATTTGACTAGATTCGAGTTGTTTGAAGGTTTATTCTAAAGAAAAAGCGGTATTGGAGAGTTGATGCACTTTGAAAAGAGGTAAGTGTCTTGGCTAACCTTGATTCGAGGGAATTAGCTTGTACTGAGTATATTGCTACGTGCTTGTAACGACCCCTATCGTTTTGTGTATTTGAGTACTGTTTCACCTTTTGATACTTCACACATGTGTAATTTTGGTGTTATAACTTGCGGGGTCGGCTAGTTTTATTTCGGGAAGGTTGTGGGTTGATTTGGACCCTTTGGTTCTTGGTTTAGAAGCCCTTATTATAAATATTAACCAAAGTTTGACGTTTGTGAAAACAACCTCAGAATAGTGTTTTGATGGCTTTGATAGGTTCTTACCGTAATTTTGGACTTGGGCGTATGTTCAAAATCGAATTCAGAGGTCCCTAGTTTGATTTGCCTTGTTTTGTCGAAAGTTGGCAATTTGAGGTTTAGAAGTTTTCCCAAGTTTGACTATAGGTTGACTTTTTAGCTATCAGATTCAGAACTTGGTCTTGAGACTTGGAATGAGTCTGCTTTGCTATTTGAAACTTGTCTGCAAAATTTGGTTTCTTTTGGAGCTGGTTTGATAGGATTCGGACGTTCGGTTGGAATTTTAGAGGTTCTTAAGTTTTCTTTTGGAATTCATGCGTTTTGATGTTCGGTTCGTAGTTCTAGATATTATTTTTATATTTTGATCGTGAGAGCGAGTTCGTATGATGTTATTAGACTTATGTGGATGTTTGGTTTGAAGCCCCGAGGACTTAGATGAGTTTCAGACGTGTTTTAGATTGGATTGAACTTATTTTGGGTTGCTGGTGTGTTTGTGCTGTAGTTATCACAATTGCGAGCACCGGCCTCACAATTGCGAAGTGAACAGGTGAGGGTCAGGTATCGCAATTGCAAAGTGTAGGCTATACTGGATAGGTTCGCATTTATGACACTTTAGTCGCGTTTGCGGAGGGAGCAGGCTTCGCATTGTCGTATTTGCGACTTCCCCCACATAGGCTGTCACTCCCACATTTGCGAAGTATTATTCACAATTAAGAGGGTTCACAATTGCAAATCTAGCTTCGCGATTGCGATATCTGCAATTGAATAAAAGGGCTGAGAGCCGGGATTTCATCTTATTTTCTCTCATTTTAGAACCTTAGACTCGGTAGAAAGCGATTTGGAGAGGAGATTTTCATCTACAAACATTGGGTAAATAGTTTTAATTAATTTTCAATTATATTTTGATTATATATGAGATTTAACATCAAAATTATGAGAATCAAAGAGGAATTTTGCCTAAATTTTGAAAAATTTTAAATTTGAGTTTTGAGAGTTGATTTGGACTCGGATTTGAAAATAAAATACATATATAGACTCGTGGAATTTTAGGTAGTCGGAATCTACCCTTGGACTCAGGTTTTGACTGGGCAAGTCTGGGGTTAACTTTTGTTGACTTTTGAGAAATTGTGTAAAGATCATTGCCTTATCGATCGTAATTGGTTTCTCTTACATTGTTTGCTGATATTGAGTTTTTTTTGTTAGATTTGAGCCGTACGGAGGCAAATTTTAGGGGGAAAAGATATTTTTTAGGGTTAATTTATCCTAGTTGAAGGTAAGTATATTGCCTAACTTTGTGTGTGGGAACTACCCCTTAGAATTTGGGTTGATT